GCCTCGCCCGCTGGCACGATCGCGCCCGACTGGGTCGCTCGCTGCGTCCCTTGCCTTGCCTGCATCGGGCGTCGCTGGGTCGCTAGCCGCGTCCCCTGGGCTGCCGTCTCTGCCTGGGTTGCCGTCTCCGCCTGACTCCCCCTTGTCGCCTGGTTCGGCCCAGCCCGCCGCGTCACCCTGGCCTGTGTCGCCTGTTGCTAAAGATTGTTCAGCCGCGACACCACTGGTCGGGTCTACGTCGTCGCCGCCAGCATCTACCGGCGATGCAGCTCCCGGGCACACTATGGTCACCGTCACCGCGATCATGCGCGCAAGGACAAAGACATACACGGATGGCACGGTGCAGTACGACACTCGTCGGCGTGCATTCTTCACGCACACCCACTTCTCATCGTGATGCTCTTGGTGAACCGGCTTGGCGTGCCGCCATGTCTGAGGAATTTGCTGCCCTTCGTCACATGAACACATGGGTGTTGGTGCCTCGGCCTCCTTGTGTTAATATTGTGGGCTGCAAGTGGATCTTTAAGACCAAGCATCGTACGGATGGTTCTGTTGACAAGCACAAAGCTCGCCTTGTTGCTCGTGGTTTTACTCAACAACAAGGGATCGACTATGGAGATACTTTCAGCCCCGTGGTGAAGCCTGCCACGATTCGTCTGGTTCTCTCTCTCGCTGTCTCCCGCGGGTGGAGTCTTCGACAGATTGATGTGAGTAATGCTTTTCTCCACGGTGTCTTGGCCGAAGATGTCTACATGCAGCAGCCCCCTGGTTTTGAGGATGCTCGTTATCCCTCTCATGTCTGCAAACTCCAGAGGTCCATCTACAGGCTCAAACAGTCGCTGCGTGCCTAGTATGCTCGGTTGAGTAAGCGTCTCTCACAGCTTGGCTTTGTTCCCTCCAAGGCAGATGCCTCCTTGTTCATATTTTCCCATGGTGCTATTCAGATATACAAGCTGGTGTATGTTGATGATATTGTGATTGCTGGTTCTACACCTACTGTGGTGGATCGCCTTGTGCAGTCCTTGTCTATGAGCTTTCCCATCAAAGAATTGGGTAGACTGGAGTACTTTCTTGGACTGGAAGCGTCCTTTCATTCAGGGGGCATGACATTAACGCAGAAGAAGTATGCACTTGATCTTCTGCATCGGGTTAACATGGAGAACTGCAAGTCCACTTTCACTCCACTTGCTACATCCGAGAGCCTCTCGTGTCATAGTGGTGCATTGCTGAGTACCGATGATTCTTTCAGGTATCGTAGTGTAGTTGGAGCACTTCAGTATCTGACAATTACTCGTCCAGATATCTCCATTGTCGTGAACAAAGTGTGCCAGTTCCTGTCTCAGCCTATGGAGGTTCATTGCGAAGTAGTTAAGAGGTATTCTGAGGTATGTCAAAGGTACGCTAGACATGGGACTACAGATTCGTAAGTCCAGGTTTACTGGAGTCAGTATATTCACCGATGCAGACTGGGCAGGTTGTGTTGATGACAGGCGTTCTATCGGTGGCTTTGTTGTATTTGTTGGACCCAATCTTATATCTTGGAGTTCCAAGAAGCAGCCTACAGTCTCGAGGTCCAGCACCGAGGCAGAGTATAAGACACTGGCCAATGGCGCAACTGAAGCCATTTGGATAGACACAGTTCTCACAGAACTTGGAGTCACACGGCAGCACACACCCATATTGTGGTGTGATAATTTAGGGGCAACTTACCTGACGACGAATCCAGTGTTTCATGCTCGGACCAAACACATTGAGATTGATTTCCATTTTGTGAGAGAACGAGTAGCTGTTGGTAATATGAAAGTCAGGTTTACTGCATGATCAGCTAGCGGATGTATTTACTAAACCCGCTACTCGACAGATGCTAGACCGTTTTAGAATCAATCTGGATCTTGTATGTAGTTCAGATTAAGGGCCATGTAAAATAGGGTCTAGCATATTATACATATACACGTATTTGTATACGTATGTAATTGTATTCTGATCATCTATATATTAAGATGTGAGGTTGGATGTTAGCCACCCACGCAAAACCCTAAACCTACCTCTTCAACTCCCTCCAGATAATCACCTTCTTGAGAAGCTCTAAACCATAGAGCACACCTTTCCATATTTTAAAAGAATTGCCAGTGAAAACAGCGTCCAGCAAACTACCATTAGGGCACGTAAATTATCAGGGTGATGTATATGCTTGCCTTGTCAATCACCACTCGCCAATTAGTTGGGACCGCTCCTTGTTGAACTGGCGCATCTCACCATGGTCTTGCTTCCTTGGGAAGATAAGGGCAGCCTTGTTTACGGGCAAAAGCGAAGAGGAATTTCGTAGTGCCAGGTTCACGAGGATACCTTTCTGGATATGCAATACCTGAGATATTTTCTTTAGAAAGCATATACTACAGATACAAAAAAAAAACTCGTACGAAAATGGTTGAAGTTGTAGTAAAACAACGACAATCAATATGGATCAGATTACCAATGACATCCTCATAGACCATAGTCCATAGTAAATTTAGGTGGTTTTAGCTAACGAATCCAAGGAATGGGTTTTGCCGTCTGTGGTCTGCAGCATTTCCCTTTGCGTCTGCCCGAGGGCGAAGCTTCGGCAACTGTTCTTGCTATATCCGCAGGAAACCGCAAGCAAAGAATTCAAGAATAAGTTAGTCGGAGCCGCAGAATATGTACTACTCCCTCCGTTTCAAATTACTCGTCTTAAAAATAAATGTATTTACAATTAAAATACATCTAGATATATCCATATATGTGACAAGTAATTCGGAATGGAGGGAGTACTACCTTTTACAGGCAAGGGAGCTTGCTTTACAACATGTACATGATACGTTTACAGAGAAACGATGCGGGAGAATCATACCACGACAGAGAAAAATATCCGTAAACAAACAGAAGAACGTATGCTCACCAATCCGCTTAACAGAGCTCGCCCTTTCGAGTTATTCGGTTTCACTTTCCAGCAGCCCAGCTCTGTCAGAGCCAGCCTCACGGGAATCAACATCCGGTACGTTCATCCTCATCAACAGTTTTGCGTGCTAGCGTCTGCCATCTTTGGCGCACGGCAAGAATATTACTGCCTTGCACACCGTGGCATGCATGGCGCATGTGGACCTATAAAACGCCACACGCAAGCATACGCATCACGTACACCAACCAGCGTCAGGAACAGCGCCGGCGCCGCTCGACCGATCGACCAGCCATGCCGCGGAACTACCGCCTGCCGTCGTACCACCGGCAGAGCCCGGCGATCCGGTGCCTCAACTTCCTCTGCGCGGTGCTGCTCACGCTCGTCCTCATCGCCGGCATCATCCTCTTCGTGCTGTGGCTCAGCCTCCGCCCGCACCGCCCCAAGTTCACGCTCACCGACTTCAGCATCCCCAACGTGAACCGCCAGTCGGGCGCCGCCAACCTGCCCGTCAAGTTGGCCGTCAACGAGCACAACCCCAACCAGAAGATCGGCATCCACTTCGAGGCCGTCTACGGCTCCGTCTACTACGACGACGAGCTCATCGCGTCGGGCCCCGTCATGTACCCCTTCTACCAGCCGCCCAAGGGCGACACGCTGGTGCAGGGCGAGCTGGCCGCCTCCGGCCCGACGCCCACCGACCCCGCGTGGCAGCGCTTCGCCAGCGAGGTGGGCGCCGGCAGCGTGGGGCTGCGCCTGGTGCTCAACTCCACGGTGAGGTTCCAGGTGAAGCTGTGGGACACCAAGGAGCACCACATGAAGGCCGACTGCGGGTTCAAGATCAGCGGGGACGGCAGCCTCCACCAGGAGGACAGGAACACGCAGTGCACGCTCTACTTCTAGAATTCTAGTGGATCATTCAAGCTGCTCTTCTCTTATTTTTCCCTTCCCTCTGAATTACTTCTCTTTCTTCTTGAACATAACTGCTTGTCATTTGGGTTTGGGGTGGTATTGGTAATTCCTTTGTTTTATTCATGTGCTTGACGTACATGTATTGGTTACTAGTACATTTTATAGACTGCAATCTTTCTAATGCAAACAGAATGACGTGAGCATCAAAGGGCGCTGAAATTTGGTTCCAGATGTCTACATGTCATGAACTTTGTGATCATTGTAAATTTGTAATGAAGCGTGAATGCATGTGAGAATCGAAAGGTTCCAAATGTCCTGCAAAATAAAAAGAAGACAAATTATACTGTATTTAACAATGGAATATCTGATGAAAAACATAAAAGACGACGACATATTTAACAACTAACTATCCAATGCAAAACATACGAAATATAGTTAACCATGGTCTGAAAGGGCACGATCTTTTATTTTAGTGCAAGCATCTATTTATGCATATGCTTAACCTTTCACCATATGCATTTTTCAAACAAGCCGTGCAGCCGTACCTCTTGTTTCTTCTAACTTTGTGCAAAGCATCTAACTATACGGATAGTCGAATACCGATGCTCTAACTCTCTTAACCAATTTGTTTTTTCGGAGATGCAGTCCAGTTGTTTCTCTCGCTTAAACACAGCATATCAAACCAATAATCACGTGATATAAGAATGATCAGGACTGACTGTCTACAAGAGGTCAAATATCAATACAACATCTACTGATAAGAACACCAATGCTTACGTGTTACACTAACCGATCATATAAGATATTAAAAGATCATAGGCGCACATCCATTCAATAGCAAAACCACTATGCGTACAATGCTTCATGGTCCGATTTGTGTACGACCCCAAATCTGATGCTCCACTGCAGTTTTGTTCAGCGCATCAACCGCTTTGATCTAGCGCGTTGTACAGAAATCGGACAACTAGTGTCATGTATAGCAAGGTCGATTCAATAGTTCTTTCTTGTGAAGCACATGCTACTGATTCTGTCAAACTGCAAACAAATTTACAGCAAAACTGCGGTGGTCATTTCCACATGCCCCAGGTCTCACTTGGGTGATTAACAAATTACAAGGCAACTAAAGGGGAAATCCCTCAACTAACCAGGAGCGCCAGAGTTGATTGATAGCTATTTAGTTTTCCTCTAGTCTCCTCAACACAGATTCAGCAAACATGCGCTGCCTGAAAATTGAAAAGGCTTGTTAGAAATTAAGTAAACTTAAAATGATTAACTGGCTAGTTTGACCAAATCAACATCCTCTATTATAGTTTTCATCAAGATAACAAGGGAAAAAGAGAGATTTTACGCACTTTTCCTCAGTATGTTTTGGACTAGGGCGGTTATGTTTCAGATAGCCATCCCATGGAACCTTCTTAAGACCAGCCCGAGCAGCTATCATGTCCCTCACTCTGTATAAAGCATTGCATCAGGTATAAAAGATTACTCTGACCCTTGGTATTTTCTTAGAAAAAAAGCATTATCAAAACTTTTGTGTTACCTTTCAGTAAATTCTATCGCTGTCTCCCCTTCCCTGAGATACTGAGGTTCCAAGAACCAAACATCACAAACAACAGCCCATGATGTCATAAGACGAACCAAATGCATTGTAAAAGATTGCCTGGTAAACATTTCAAGCGAGGTAACATGTGAAAAAAGGAAGGTATATAGGTGTGAACAAAGTAAATGTATATATTTGTTTGTATTCCATACTTCTTACTATTCCAGAAGGCGTCAACAAATATTTTATTATATTTGATAGCTATTGGACATACAGCACAGCCAAGCTCAAAAGCACCCTGAAAATATAAGCAACGAAACAATTTAATCAATGGATAGTTGTGTGATCACGCTCAACAAGCAAAAATGACAAAGCATATGCCACGCAATAAGATGACTGGTTTCCAGTGTTTGTTTTAATCAGCTTGTACTGAGTGAAAAGAAAAGTATTTTTCTTTCGTTTTCTTTTCTCCAAACTCAATTACAAGTCTTAATGATTTGCATGCAGAGAACTCCGATACAGATCAAACTCAATTACAAGTCTTAATGATTTGCATGCAGAGAACTCCGATACAGATAAACAAGATGCTATACTAATACCATATATATGATCACTTAAGTCCCTGCAAAGAATGGAATTATGAATTCTCTCTTGCATAAACTTTGTACTGTCGTAGAATATTCAAAGAGATTTCAGGTGTACAACTTTACCTTCTTGAACATCACAGTGTACTGATTATTAACACAAGTTCCTTCCGGGAAAATCAAGAGAGGATTGTTGTCTGGATGCTGAACATGATCACGTAACCTGATAAGAAAAAAAAATCATTGAATAAACAGATCTTCAAACAGAAAGAGTTGCAAAGGAAAAAACTTACTTTCTTCCAACTACTTCACGATCCTTGAGATCATTACGGTTAAACCAGATGCAACCCACACTTTCCAGAATAGTCTTCTGAATAAATCCTGAGAGGGAAAATAATAAATAAATCAAAATTCTAGCATTGAGAACTAAACAAAAACTAGAAGAGAAGTTTCTGAAGAATAGGAAACTGACCAACCCATCCAGGATGCTTTTGCATGATGACAGCAAATGCTGTCATCTGCTCCAGAATAATAAAATCTATCATCGATGTATGGTTTGCAACAAATACCTGTTGTAATAATTAGAAGATTAATACAAGGGTATCAATCATACTGAGAAGTTTATAGTGATAAAGATATGAATGTTACTTATTTATAAGAACAACATGGACCTGCAGATAGGATTCTAAACAAAAAAATTATGTATTCATGGCACAGAGCACATACATGTTCCACAATTAAAATTTAGAAGTATGTGATAGAAAAATATCTTGTGGCTTGTGCTACCTTTCCGTGTGATATTTCATGGGAACAAGCCTTTAATTTAACACCTGTTATGTTTACACCTCAAAAGTGAAGGTGGTCACACTTCTCTTGTGTTCACAACCACACACATACCTCAGATATTAGTAAATGAAGCAAACAAAGTTAACCTGATAAGGTCGTGAGCTTGGGCGTGGTCCATGGTACTTGATCACTCCAGTCCAAGAAGCAACAAAAACACTGCACATCATTTCAACCAGCTTTCTCTGCACAAAGCTCGAAACAAATTAATGAACTCAGAACCCAAGAAGTTTTAAAGATAAACCACACTAATGTGAACAAAGTTGGCAAAACAAACATGAAGGTGCAAGACCAACAGAAGTAATGGTGTCAGGCAGGACCAAACAGCTGACCTATATCTCGGTTTATATGACTCCAGAGAGTCTAAATGCAATAGCAACAGTTTATGTGTAGAAGTACATGTGAGTGCATAAGCCTAGTTAACTCAATAAGCTTTAAGGGTTATCTAACAATAAACTTACTAGGCTTCAAAGATACAATCACAATAAACTAACTTACAGTACAACATACGATATAACTGGATTGCTTGTAGGGGCTAAACCCCTAAAAGATGTCAAAAAGGGATTAACTGATGGAGTGCCAATTAACGTTATGTATTGGTATTCACTGGGAAAAGGGAAAGATCTTGATCCCCACGATTCAGCACCGGAAAAAGCAGAAACAACCTTGCCATAGTTTGTTATTAATTCATTCCATTGAAATTTGAAGCAACACAGAAAGAGATAAACTTTAAGAAAGGTGCACTGATTTACCGCATTCACCCAACCACAAACCCAAAGAACCACGGACATGAATGCACACACAAACACATATAATTGACATTGGAACCAAGAGTACAGTTAAAGCTCCACGTCAGACCGCTCATGAGGTCATATACACTGAATATGGACATATCCACAATAAGAGATAAACTTGATTCATGAAAATAAAATAGCTCACCTCTATTTTACTTTTTAGCCTATTTTTCCCGTTCATTAGGAAACGCACGGGAAAAAAGGCAGTAAAGAAGGCCATCCATCCTAGTATAAGTGTTAAGAACCTGATACACAATTAACTTATCAGATGACTAGATTCGATATTTACGAAGAAAAATCAATGAAAGCAGAAGATACACTGGATGAAACAATTAGTAGTAGTAAACACTAGCATACAAAGAAAAGTACAGAGAAGACAAATGTTTCTCTGCAAAAATTTACATAAACTTCAATTATTTTCCAGTACATTACTTGTATTGAATTATTTTACAAGTTTTGGAGAAGAAAACTTACAGCCTCAAAGGGAACATGAAAAACATTCTAGGCATCAAAGGAACAAATGTAATTGCACATGGAACAATTTTACACCAATGGGGTTATGATCATTGTTTTCAAGGCGTCCCTAAGGCGTCGCCGCGTCAGGGTGCGCTCCCTGATGGCAAGACGTCGTCCTCGCCTTAGACTATTGAGTAAGGCGTCCGCCTTGGCCTGTATGGCGTCTGAGTTGTCCGCTTTAGGGCCGGCCGTCTCGCATGCCTTGGACCAAATCAGACGCTCTGGTCTGACAGGCAGGGAACAGAGATTCAAGGCGGAAAAAACTGAGCTGCGCGGAAACGTTGGCTCACGAGCGAAACAGTTATGAGGAGGGGAAAGATACAGAGAGAATCAAACCAGAGCGTGCAAATCTCCAGGATTCCAGCGAGAGGGTCTCTCCCCTGGCGACGGCTTCCTCCTCAAATCTGCGCCAGCTTCCTCCTCCCTGGCTACAACTCCCCACCCCTCTCCAGCTGCAGCTCCTCCCCATCCTCCTCCAGTGAAACCTCTTCCACAAGATCAACACCACAGCAAGGTATGGCTCCCGCCCTCTCTCCTCCCCCTTCCTCTCCTCTGCTCTTTCTTCCATCCAGCACCAAAGCTTGCCATGCTTTCCAGCTCTGCTCTGCTCTTTCTCCTCTGCATCTGTTTCCTCCCAAATCTGCTTCTCCATCGACAAGGCAGCAGCCCCACCACCGCTTCTCTCCTTCCCCATGCTTAATCTAGTTGCTCTAGTTATTTGGCTCTTCTCTCTTTTTTCTGGCCAGGTGTCCCTGCTCTGATGGATCCTTTGGCTGGTAATGCTTATGATCTATCCAATGACCCAGCTTGGAAGTATGGGTTCTGGGCAGATTTAGATAGGAAAGATTTTAATACATTGTGTGGCAAGATAGTCCATGCTGGAGTTAAAAGGCTGAAGCAGCACCTTTCTGGGGGTTTCAGTGATGCGGATAAGTGCCCTGAGGCATCCATAGAGATTAGGATAGAGATGCGCAATTCCTTAAACACTGGAAAGTTTAAAGCTATGGAGCGATATATTGATGAGGAGGATGCATCTGAAGTTCAAAGGCACCGTTCTGTCATATACACAAGATGATGCCCATTCTTTGGTAACAGCTTATTATGTCAATGCTAGTTGTTAAATCTCCAAATTGGCTGCCATTTATGTACACTTCATTATGTTAATGCTAGTTGTTGAATCTCATAATTGGCTGCCATATATTATATATGTATGTG